ATTCCAGGGCCAGAGACTGGAGAAGTGGAAACACAGCTCTCAAATCAATCTCTTGTCCCTTGGTGGTAGAGAAGTGACTTTTAAAATAGGATAGTAGAAACGAAAGAGAAGTTGGGTAAATAGGTGGGAAGAATATTCATAAATTTTCCAGCACGAAGGAGGGGCAGTGGCTTTCCCGGAATCAGGGTTCCACCCTCTTTTTTTCTGTTTATGATCTCTTCCCGCCTCTTCATGGCGATCCACCAGATCCATCATTAACTGTCGTGGTGCCAGTACTGTGTTATTTAGCATGGAGATTATATTATAATGAGCTTTAAAATCTTTTGGAGGTCATTTAGAGTTTGACAGTCATCTTGGTTTCAACTGGTTTCAGCTAGTCTTGACAAGTTCTTAACAGCATTCCACAAGTATCAGAGATACAGTGGGAGAGCAGTTCAGCCAGGCCTCTCAGACATCCAGGCAGACCCTGCAAGCCTGTCACGGGGTAATAACTGGACCACATTTCATTCCCTCAACATCTATGGATGTACCAGTTTATTTATCCACTCTGCAGTTGAGGGACATTTGGTTCGTTTCCAGTTTTTTATGATTACAAATAAAGCTTCTATAAATATGTGCAGAGTTTTATGTGAATATAGGTTTTCATTTCACTTGGGGAAATAGTAGGAATGGAAATGCTAGGTTGTATGGTGAGTGTATGTTTGCGTCCAAAACGAGGCAAACTGTTTTCCAAAAGTGGCCATACCATTTTGCATCTCCACCAGCAAAATCTGAGAGTTTCATTTGCTCCACATCCTCCTAAGTACTTGGTATGGTCAGTCTTTAAGCCATTCTAGTAAGTGTAAAGTAGTATTTTATTGTGGTTTCAATTTGCATTTCCTTAAGAACTAATGATATTGAACATATTTTCATAAGCTCACTTGCCGTCTATCTTTGGTGAAGTGTCTTTCCAAATATTTCACCCATTTTTTTAAAAAACAATTGGGCTGTTCTCTTACTATTAAGTATAGAGGGCTCTTCGTATATCTTGGATACAAGTCCTAGCAGATATATGATTTGCAAATATTTTCTCCTAGTCCGCAACTTATGTTTCCATCATCTTAACAGTGTCCTTTGAAAAGCAGATGTTCTTAATTTTGGTAAAGCCCAATTAATTAATCTTTTTCTTTTATAGATTGCACTTTCCATGCCCTTCCTAAGAAATCTTTGCTTACCCTAAGGTTGAAAAGATTATCTGTTTTCTTCTAGAAATTTTATGTTAGAGTTTACATGTAGGCCTATGATCAATGAACCTATATTAGCAAACTTCAGAAGGCTATTTAAAAAGGGTTTCTGATAATATACATTTGAAAGGGGTCATTGGTTATGTCTAGTAAAACACTGAAGCTGTATAAGGAAGGTCATAGTTTCTCTACATAGTCAACTGTTAAGCATTTCAGCTAATTCAGAGTTTATCTTTCAGAATAAATGACATGAAGTTCTGGGGATTGTGGGGGCTGCTTCCCTCTTTGTATCCTCCCTTTGATAGATGTACCATCTACGGTAGATGTACCATCTATTTAGTAGGCTATAATAACCCCTTTCAGGCTATTTACATAATTTCACATAGTCTTGGCTTTCTCTCCTCCTCAGAGGCTCATTTGTTTGACCTTTCATAAAGTTAAGAGTTGGAGGGAGGGCTATTTAATGTAATATGACAAGCAAACCCTAAGTAGCATAACAAAGACATAGTGAGTTCATCTCGCAATCAAGATAATTGACTTGTAATTAATAACTTTTAATAACTGCCCACCAATGTCCAGGGTCCACCTGAACCAATAGAAGGATTTGTTTCTCTCCGATGGAGTGAAGAACCTGGGATATTTCTTTAATTTTATGGGTATCTTTTTCTATCTACCTGGAGCCAAGTTAAAGTTCATGATTTATTTTATTCTTCCCTTATAGAGGCTCCTTAGTTCGTAGAGCTCTGATGGCATCCCTACTTGCACTGAGCCTCGTTCTGGAATCCCCACAGATTTAATATGGGCCTCCCAAGTTCAAAATTCCCCATTCCAAGGATTAGAGGTAGATAAAAGACATAAAACCAAATGTTCCTACAGGTGAGGAGTTCTCTGTACTCCAAAGCAGTCGACCAACATGCACACTATGTCAGGTGGTATCCATGTCTCACATAGTCATTAGAGGAGGGAAATTTTTATAGCATCTAGCATGCTGTGTCCCAAAGGTGGAATACTCAGCCATTAGAGAAATTTAGAGACAATACTGAAATCCGTTGTGCGCCAACTACTGGGTGGTCATGGGTCACCACTGCAAAAGACGTTTGAAGGAGATAGCTATGGTGGAAAGGGGCAGACAAGAGGAACCTTCCTGATATGCAGCAGTAAACTATGTGGTAAGCAAGGTAAAGACTTAAGAATCCATAGTATTAGACCAGCAGTCTCCCTTTTCACACAGGTTATTTATCTGGCATCTCCGCACAGTCCTATGAAACTTCTTTGTGATTTGCATCTTGAATACCACACAGTAACCCCCTCTACTTTCTAGGCTAAAGCTGCCACAGGGCTTTCATGGTCTCTATGAATTGTATCCAGATTTACTTGTTTGCTGTCAGTTTTGATGTAGTTGTGATGTGTCATCTGTATCCTCAAGGATGGTCTGGAGCCCCACATAACGAGTCCTGGGGATGGTCAAGAGAACATCATAGGGCTCGTTCCATCTGGGTTCTTTCTTAAAATTCCTGCTTGTCAAAAAGTTTTTAGGTTTTGCTTAGTAACATAGTTTTGCTTCTGTCTCACCAGAGCTTTGGAGGTTGTAAGGGATGTTCAGTTTGTAATTTACAGACATGTTGGAAAAGCTGTCCTATAAAAAGAGAACATTAGTCTGAGTTTAGATATAGTCTGCTTTAAGATCCTAGAAAGAGTAAAGCAAACTAAACCCAAAACAAATAGAAGAAAAGACAAAGTAAATATCAGAGCAGAAATAAATGAAAGGGAGAATAGAAATACAATAAGTTTTTTAAAGCTGTTCTTTGACAAGAGTAACAAAATTGACAAACATCTAGCTAAATTGACTATGGAAAAAGGGACAAGACTTAAATTATTAAAATCGGGAATAAAAGAGGGATAATAAAAAGAATTATAAGGAAATACTGTGAACGATTGTATGCCAACAAATTAAATAATTTAGATGAAATGGACAACTTTCCAGAAAGACACAAACTATACAAACTGTCTTAGAAGGAAATAGAAAATCTTAAACCTATAATAAATAAAGGGCTTGAATTTATAATAATAGTAATAATGAAAAAACTTCTCACAATATAAAAAAGCCCAGGACCAGATGACTTCACTGGTGAATTTTACCAAATATTTAGAATTAGCACCAATCCACTCAAAATCTAACAAAACATAGAAGAGGAAGGAACACTTCCCAACTCATTCTATGATGCCATTATTACTGATACCCAAACCCAGCCAAAATGTTATAAGACAAAAAAAAAACTGCAGACCAATATTCCTTGTGGATATGGTCTCACACACACACATATGCATGCACACACACACACACAATTCAACAAAATACTAGCAAACCAAATCTAACAACAGGATTATTACCAAGATCAATTGGGATTTTATCCTGGGATGCAAGGATGGTTCAACACCCCAAAATCAACCAATGTAATATATCATATTACTTGAATAAAGGACAAAAACCATATGATCATCTCAGTAGATGCAGAAAAAGCATTTGACAATCTTTAACACCCTATTGTGATAAAAATATGCAATAAACTAATAAAGAAATATCAAATGGCCAATGAGTATATGAAAAGACACTCGTTATTAGCTATCATAGAAATGCAAATCAAAACCACAATGAGATACAACTTCATACACATTGGGGTAGCTATAATCAAAATGGTGGAAAATAACGTGTTGGTGAGGATGTGGAGAAACTGGAACCCATATACATTGTTGTTGGTAATATAAAATGGTGTAGCTATTTTGGAAAACAATTTGGCAGTGCCTTAAAAAAATTAAACACAGAGTTATTATATGTCCAAGAAATGTGAAATCATATGTCCAGAGAAAACAGGTACATGACTGCTCCCAATAACTATATTCATAATAGTCAAGAGGCAGAAACAATCCATATGTCCATCAATTGATGAATAAATAAAATGCGGTCTTTCCATGCAGTGGAACATTATTCGGCCATTTAAAAGGAACAAAACACCTATACATGCTGCAACATGGATGAAACTTAAAACATTGTGCCAAGTGAAAGAAACCAGATATAAAAGTCCACATATTATATGATTCCATTTTTATGAAATGTCCAGAATAAGCAAATTCATAGAGGAAGAAAACAGATTAGCTGATGATGGCTGGTAGGCGGGGATGAGGTCAGGGTGGAGAAGGACAACGGGAAGTGATAGTTAATGGGTGCCACCCATATTCGGCATGATGAAAACATTCTGGAATTAGACAGTGGTAATGGTTGTACAACTCCGGTAACATATTAAAAACCACTGAATTGTACACTTTAAAGGGGTAAGTTTTATGGTATGTGAATTATATCTCAATGTTTTAAAACTCCGGCAAGTCATGGAATCAGTGTGATATACAGTGCAGAACAGAGTGGGACTTATTACCTTTATTTGATTGTTTCCTGCAATAATGTTATGAGAAAAGCAGAGCACGAAACTCAGTAGATTTTAGAAATACACTCTGCAAAAGTTTACGGAGTTCTTGCCATCCTATTCAACTGTGCCAGTTGCTTCAGCGTGTGAACGCTGAATGGTGCTCAGCTCCTCTCCAAGGGTCTTAGAGGCTAATGGGGAGGCTTAGAAGAGGACACAGTGGACTGACAGCCCCAAGAGGGTTGGCTCCGCTGCGTACGGAGCATTGGGCATCTCTGAGCAGCCACCAGGCTTCCAGTTCTGGATACCCAAGACAAGCCTCCCCAGAAAGAGAATGACTTGGAGAGATGAGGTTAACAGGCTGCCTAGAGGAAGGGCACCTGAATAAGTTACAGAATGAAATCGCACCTTGATCTCCCAGACTGGGGCAGGGGGAGGCGTGTGCAAGCGCGTGAGGGAGCATGAAGTTGTGCTCCCTCTGTCTGAGGCCCTTGACAAAGAAAAGGGAAGGACTGGGCCAGATTCCTCTGACTCCTGACCTAGCTTAATACAGGTTCCTCTAGGCAATGGGGACAGGGGTGAGGACGCTGCAAGAAACAGAAAAACTCAAACATAAGAATTGTCACATAACGGGTTTTATCAGAGAGTAAGAAAACAAGAGGAAGGGAAAACTTTTTAAAAGTACAACCTGGGTGGGAGCAGATGGTCCTTGTTCCACTTCAGTAAAGCGAAGAAGAGCAGAGGCACAGCCTGGACCACGTGGGCCCTGATGAGATAACGGGGCCTAGCTTAGTACCAAGTGACAGGAAAGGACAGCATCTTGCACAAACACCAGAGCATGACGGTTGACTCACGTCATGGGAATAGCAATGTGGAGGAGACACAGCCAAGCCCGCAAGGATGAGAAGAGACGTAAGTCTGGGATATGGTGGACACAGTACGAAAAACCCAGTTTTTGTGATAGGGGCAGATTAGAATAACAATTATT